GAGACGTCACCTCTGCGGCCACATGATGTGATCCGTCGTCAGTTTTTTTTCCGGTACCTCACAAGCTTTGCTTGTTTTTGATGGCGTCAACGGATTAGTAACAAGCTGATGAGAAAACACGTATCTGGTTGTGCAGCAGGTATTTCAATCGCGGCAAACATCCAGCACCGTCGAATACGATGCCTCGGTCATGATCTGCACGTGTCGAAACACCGTCTACCGAGACGAGTATTGTTTTCTTCGCCTTCTTTAGAATAGCGCAAAACCGTGAGGTGCACAACGTGTGCATTGGCAGATGTTAAAGGGATTACGAAGAGCCTGGGTGTTGTTGGTGCTGTGCGCATTCCTGGATCGTGTCCGCGCGACCCATCGTGCACTTGGCTGGAGACATTGCAGGAAACGGCGGCCAATCGATGTGAATGGAGTTCATGCTGTCAGTTACTTTCCTTATTGTCTGAGTGAACTTCTGGAGGTGTAAGCACCTCAGAATGCTTTCGGTAGGCCAGCAGCAGTTCCCTTCCTCCACCCACTTCTACCTTCTTTTCATTCCAAAAATGTGAAGATACTTAGATAAGCTTTGTGGTTGTACTTCAGTGAAGCATCAATGTCAATATTTATGTCTCTGTCTTTGATTATGATTTCTTATTAAGTTCTTTTTCTACCATTTCCACAATGGACTAACCATTCATATCATCTGGGTTTCCGTTGTGTCCTCTTTTGAACTTATTCACTTTTAAAATTGTCCACCCTTCCTGCTTCAAACATGTCGCTGTTATTCACATAGGTTTCGCGGGCACTTGTGGCTACAGGTTGCTCCAACGTGCTGATTGGCTGTGATTCTGATTTCCCTTCCGGTCAGACGGTGTGTTCATGCGTTCTTCAGTTTTACGGTGATCCCTTAATAATCGAACTGTCACTACCATGTTGCGTTATACATATGGGGCACATCATCATCATCATCATCATCATCATCATCATCATCATCATCATCATCATCATCATCATCATCA